TTATTATTCTTATTAGTATTTGGGGGTTCATCTTCTTATTATTATTATTTGAGGATCCATCTTATTATTCTTATTAGTATTTGGGGGTTCATCTTATTATTCTTACCGTTATTTGGGGATCCATCTTATTATTATTATTATTATTTGAGGATCCATCTTATTTCTATTAGTATTTGGGGGTTCATCTTCTTATTATTATTATTTGAGGATCCATCTTATTATTTGGGGATTCATCTTATTATTCTTACCGTTATTTGGGGATCCATTTTATTATTCTTATTATTATTTGAGGATCCATCTTATTATTCTTATTAGTATTTGGGGGTTCATCTTATTATTCTTATCATTATTTGAGGATTCATCTTATTATTCTTATTATTATTTGGGGATCCATCTTATTATTCTTATCATTATTTGAAGATCCATCTTATTATTCCTATTAGTATTTGGGGGTTCATCTTATTATTATTATTATTATTTGGGGGTTCTTCTTCTTCTTCTTCTTCTTCTTCTTCTTCTTCTTATTATTATTATTATTATTATTTGAGGATCCATCTTATTATTATTATTTGGGGATTCATCTTCTTATTATTATTTGGGGGTCCATCTTATTATTATTTGGGGATCCATGTTATTATTCTTATTATTATTTAAGGGTCCATCTTATTATTCTTATCATTATTTGGCGGTCCATCTTATTATTCTTCTTAGTATTTGGGCGTTCATCTTATTATTCTTATTATTATTTGGGGGTTCATATTATTATTATTATTATTATTATTTGAGGATCCATCTTATTATTATTATTTGGGGATTCATCTTATTATTCTTATTATTATTTGGGGATTCATCTTATTATTATTTGGGGATCCATCTTATTATTTGGGGATCCATCTTATTATTCTTACCATTATTTGGGGATCCATCTTATTATTCTTATCATTATTTGGGGATCCATCTTATTATTCTTATCATTATTTGGGGATCCATATTATTAGTATTAGTATTATGTTCATCTTATTATTCTTATTACTGGAAAACACAATGTTGGGCAGTTTCTCGTTTCTGGGCTGTGCTGTGGGAGTCTCTCCTGTCCTTTGGGGTGGCCCAGATGTGGGACGGCACCAAGCCCTGGGAGCGGTGCTGGAGCAGCTGCCGGTGCCGGCTCTGCCTTTCCCGG